TGCACTTGTTGAAAGTTTTAGGAGTCAATTGCACTTTTATGACAAGTTTTAGGACTTAATTCACTTTTTGAAAGTTTTAGGACTCGATTTTACTTTTACGATAAGTTTTAGGACTTTCAATATACTTATAAAAAAAAAAATTAATCATTCTTTATAGGATAATAGAATGTAAAAAGCCTTTATCTATGGAGATGAGATCCTCTAACCCGACAGGTACTGAGCAGGGTAGTTGATTCTTGCCCCTTCATCGCATGCAAGTGTCCGAGATGTCTCCTTTCGATTTTGTTAACTTTTGTCATCCAATTCTGCCCCGTTTGTTGAATTGGATATTGCACAGGAAAAGTCCATGGTGCAATTATTGGCTGGTGAACTTTTACATAATGTTTGGGAGAAAAATCAAAAGAGGAAACTAAATCGAAAGCATGAATTCGAGGCGCAAAAAATGATTGCCCCTCTATAAAGATACCTACATTTGAATACTCAAAAGCTATGAGACCGAAGCAGAATAACTTTTGATTGGGATTCAAATAATTTAATGTGTGTGGGACGGAATGATGCCTGCAGTCAATGAGAATTAGCCGGATGCTCAAAATACCCCTTACCCAATTTATATATAAAAAAGAATAATGAGAAGATTACCCGATTAGTTCTAAAAATACCCCTTACCCAATTTATATATAAAAAGAATAATGAGAAGATTATCCGATTAGTTCTAAACCTATCGTACGGATATCAATTCAGTTTTTAAAATTTTTCAATTTCGACAATTTAGTCATAAACCTTTACGCCGAATTCCAATGTAGTCCTTCCGATTAAGTTTTGCTGGCAAGCGCTAACGTGGCTGTTCAGCCATCCGACCGTCCTACATGGCACACTACTGCTTCGATGATTTTCAGCAAATTTTGTTCCGCGGAATTCCAATGTAGTCCTTCCGGTTAAGTATTGTACGGCGTACAATAGGTTAGTGGTAGTTCACCTTTATTAGTCATAACTTACTTGCAATATCAGTAACTTGTAGGCACGAATAAATGGTCTTTCACATATATGGACAGTAATTTGTCTATAGAGTTCGTCAAATGAAAATGCTAAGACTTAGTAATTACCAATAACATAGTCAAAAGCCTCACATTGTCGTAAGTGGTGGTAGCTGAGCTTAATAATTATCTTTCATTATTGTAATTTCCCTATAAGTCCCTACAAATGACAAGTTGGTGACCATCTAGTAATTTACTTTAAAGTCTCATAAAGTCAAATATCTTAATGCTCGTGACTTTCCGTGAAAAATCGTAATCAACCCCACTTTATCGAAATCATACTTTTCATGTTTACATTATCTTATTATCATGATTGTAATATTCTTTCACAGTTCGTCAATGTGAAAACCCTATCAGTGAGTAACTATCCTCTACATTATTATTTTCCTTAATTCATTCTTCCCTTTGGAAATTTTACATTCAGTAATTTTCCTAAAAATTCGTAAGTTAGTACCTTTTTAAAATCATCCCGTTATTAAAATTTTACTCCTTTTGATCCAATAGTCCTAATTACACATGAGATCGATCTCATGAATTAGGGGGTGTGCTTTGGCCCGGTCCAACCTAAGAACCAAACCGAACCGAACCGAATCGGCCGGTTTCAGTTGGTTCTTGAGAGAATGGGCCCGATTCCCGATTCCACATAGGAACCAGACTGATCCGATAGACTGGTTTAGATTTCTTTATTTTTTAATTTTATTCTGAAACAAAGTAAACCCTAATTTTTATATGGTTTCAATTCTCATTTCCTCTCTCTTTTTTGCCTCTCTCTCGATCTCATCTCACGCCCTAACGCTGGCGCTCTCACTCTCAGTCCACTCCTCCCTCTCTCGCGCAACTTTCTAGCCGCCAGCCCACCACCACGGTCTCGCCGGCTGGCTACCATCCACCACCCAAGGTACGCTCTCAAGTTCCGTCTCTATTGCACCCTCTCTCTTTTTTCATTCGATCACTGACTTGCTTTTGCCTTTGCATCTCTTTCGCCCTCTCATCTTTAGTTTGCTCGTGCTCTCAGTCCTCCCTCTCTCTCGCAACCACTACCACGGTCTTGCGTATCGCCGTCTGGTGGCCGTCCATCGCCCAAAATTCGCGCTCAAGGTACTACACCCGTTTTGCCCTCGATTTTCTTTGTGGGTTTGCCTCTTTTGATTTAGCCATGCTCCTCTCCTTTTCTCGGTTACAAGATTGTTTGTTCTCATTTGTGCAATTTTGGATCCTCATGATCCTCAACTGATTGTCGTTGTGTTGTTCGTATTTTTCTGGTTTTGTTTGGTAGCTGATGGGAGCTTTCAGCTTCCTTTTCTGTGCTTGCCTTGAAAGTGTAGTGGCAATGTACGATGATCACCGGTTCTGGGATCGACCTTGCAACTGGACTAATCCGATTCCAGAATTAGATGGGCCGATTCCCGATTCCAGGAGGTGAGAATCGATCGTGTTTGGTCCGGATACATCCCGAAAGCGATCACTAAACGAACTACGTATTTTTCCCCGGCAAAGTGACTATTTATTGCCATGCCACATGATTGGATGACATCATAATTACAGGATCTAAACATTCCCTTCTTTTACATTGCCAGCAATAATTCAAGCCGAAATTCCTCCATCTTTGACTTTTGAATTAAATAATTTAAATTAGCCAGAGATGCAAGGAATGTGCGACCATCAAAACCGATGTGTTAGGATGCGCATGGAATGCATTTCGGAATAAAAATTCTGTTTCGGAATGCATTCCGGAACAGAATGACGTTTGTTAAAAAATTTCCGGAATGCATTCTGGAGCGATTTTTGCATTCTGGAATAAAAATGCGTTTGTTAAAAATACTTGATTCCAGAATGCATTCTTGATTCCAGAATACATTTTTTATTCTGGAATGAGTTTTTGGCAAGAAAAAGAGAAGCTACTTTTTGTAGCTTCTTGATTCCGGAATGCATTCTTCCTATTTTCTCACAATTTTTTTTTTCAGAAAATGCATAAAAATTGAAAAATTCTAGAAAAATTCATAAAAATTTTCAGAAAATAAAAAAAAGTAAGATTTCGGGAAAATATGAAATTTGGTGAATTTTTTTTAAAAAAAAATCAAAAATTTTAAAACTTCACAGAATAGCTTAAAACACATGTGGCCACCCACTTTGAGTGAAATTTAAATTTTTTGAGGTGCCAAAAAAAAATCAAAAATTTCAAAACTTCACAAAATGGCTTAAAATACCTGTGGCTACCTATTTTGAGTGAAATTTAAATTTTTTGAGGTGCCCAAGAAAATGAAAAATAATAGAAAAATAAAAATTTTCAAAACTTCACAAAATGGCTTAAAATACCTGTGGCCACCCACTTTGAGTGAAATTTAAATTTTTTGAGGTGCCCAAAAAAATAAAAAAAATAAAAAATTTCAAAACTTCACAGAATGGCTTAGAATATCTGTAACTACCCACTTTGAGTAAAATTTAAATTTTTTGAGGTGCCAAAAAAAAAATTCAAAACTTCACAAAATGACTTAGAATACCCGTGGCCACCCACTTTGAGTGAAATTTAAATTTTTTTAGGTGCTAAAAAAATTAAAAAAAATCAAAAATTTCAAAACTTTACAGAATGGCTTATAATACATGTGGCCACCCACTTTGAGTAAAATTTTAATTTTTTTAGGTGCAAAAAAAATTAACAAATCAAAACAGATTTCTGTTCCAGAAATCAATTTCTGAAGCAGAATTAGTCATGTTTTACCAAATAGATTTCTCCTCCAGAAATTAATTTCTGGCAAGAATTCCAGAAATCAATTTCTGGCAAGAATTTGATTTCTGGAGCAGAATGGTTACTATTCGCACCCTTAGAGTTACCTGTCTCGGTCCTCCACCGGCCCATTATTTATTATTATTTTTTTCGGTCTTTTTGTTTAAATATTTTTAATCGCTTTTGACCCAAAAAAAAAATCTTTAATCCCCAATTTTTTAAATCCCCATATGGCGGCTCGCTGTCTCCACTCCTCTGCCGCGCGTCCACATCCTCCGTGGCAGAACCATTGGCCCTCGGCCCAGCCTGTCAAATCGGATAAGGTTCGCTAGGCTCTTCCCAACCAATCGCAGCCCAGGAGAAAACCAAGCTCACAGTTTCCTTTCATGGGCTCCGCCGCACCTGATCTCGGCCGAGCGATTCTTTCTCGTTGTCCAACGGCCCCCCTCTCTAAGTCACTTTAACTTAATAATTTTTTAATACGCTAATTCTACTGTAGTCATACGCAATCAAATACTTCGGATAGTTTCGTGCTTTTTTAAATATAAATGGTCCGAATCACTTCGTTAATACGCGGTGTCTCTCTTGTAAAGTAGAGAGCCGACACTATTTAACCCTGTCCATAAATTTGAAAGTGGCATAAAATTCGAAGTACGATGATATGTCCGAGGAAAATAAATTTGATGGGACTAGTATCATCGAAAATCTTAATTTGATAAATTCGTGCCATATTTATTCAAAAATAATTTTCGTGTCACGAGAAAGTCCAAACGGGTTCGTGCCAATTGTCGCATTTACTGCAAGCCAATTTTTATGTCACAAAAGATATCAGATAACCAAAATCTTCAATTATTGAGAAATCAGCCAATTTCCCCAAAAAGCTTCCTCAAGTTTCTGAAAAATAAGTCAGTTTTTTGCGGCACAAAAATTAAATTAAGGTAAATGCGACATGAATACACCGATTTGAGTTTTTTCGAGACTCGAAAATTAATGAGAGAGTAAACGTGGCACGAGTGTAACGGCTTGAAAATTTTGTGATAAAAAAAATAAATTTATGATACACATAGTGGTGAGTGTAATGATAGATGCGAGATAGGTATATCGATTAGAAATTTTTGATGATATATATATATATATTTCTTTTTTGAAGATTCGACTTGATACGAATGGGGTTGTATTTGCCCTTTTTTTTTTTTTCGCTTCACGAGATCATGATGTAGAGGTTGGTGATGCTGAATGAGTGTCTCCGGACTGGTCGACTCTTTCTCTCTCTCTCCCTCCTTCCCTCTCTCTCTCTCTCTGTCATCGTAAATCGTAGACGACGACGAAGAAGCCATCAGAGGAACACGAGAAAGCTCCCCGACATTTTTGTCTACCCCTTTAAGGTTTCGAGGCACTTGCCCTTTTCTGCATTTTTGCTGATAGCGCTCGGCTCCGCCTCAGCTCTTGTCCGATCCGAGCTCGTCCGCAAGCGCGCCGTCCCGAGCTGATCTTTGCACCCATGAACTGAAGAAAGAGAAGGTACGATCTTGAAACCGCAGATCTCGTTCGCATTGTGTTGCTGGTGCTTTTGGGTGATAGAAGGAGTACAAAAGATGATGACTTGTTTGTTTCCGTGGATAAATTTCATCTTTTTTCTTTTTTTTTTTGTTTCCCGTAGCTTCAAGGTTCTGTTTTTGTCTGCGCTTTTTCGTTGGAGGGATTTGGTTGGTTTTTGCGGGAGGTGAGCTCTTCTTTGGTTGCTGCGAAGCTGAGGAAATGCGAGGTGAATTGAGGGCATGAGTTCTTGTGCTCCGTGTTAGTGTTCAAGATGGAGTAAAGGAGAGAAAAAGAAGAAGAAGAAGAAGAGTATTTCCTTTTGAAACCCTTCTCTGCGCAAATCATTTCTGGGTTGGTCTCCGTAGCTTCTCTGCTTTTCGTTTTGGCTGTTGAGTGTTGGCCGCTACCGTGTTCTTGAATTTTGCTTCGGGGGAAAGCTCAGGGAAATCTGGGTTAGATTTTTTTCCTTTTTGGGCTCACAATTACTTGCTCACTATTGGTGCTTTTAGATTTGCCAGATCTAAATCAAGCCAAGTATATACAATGCCGAGAAGTAATCGAGCCATGGATACTCTAATCCCTGCTAAAGTTAGGAAACGCGGGTCTTCACCGGCCGCATCGTCCTCTTCATCTATAGTCCAGCATTATAGATTCAAGAGGGCCATTTTAATTGGTAAAAGGGGTGGTTCTACCACTCCGATGCCCACGTGGAGGCTAATGAGTTCCCGATCCCCATCTTTGGCTCAGCGGACCATGGAGTCCCCTCAGTTCTCGCCTTCTCGAAGTGGCAAAGGGAAGCTTCAGGAGCCGGTTTCGGCGAGGAAGCTGGCTGCCACTCTCTGGGAAATGAATGAGATGCCGTCGCCGAGAGTGAGGGAGGGATTGGAAGGAAGAAGGTTGAAGAAGGAGGGGAGAGGGAGAGAGAGGATTGCCAGTTCAGTGCGTTCAGGTTCTCTCCCTCCACATTTGTCCGATCCGTCTCACAGTCCTGTTTCAGAGGTAATCAGAAATTCCGTATGGATACCTTATTTAGCCAAAAATGAGATCAAGTAGGAAGCTTTGTTCTTCATCTTTGTTGTTGTGCTATTGCCTGGTTTTCCATGGATGAAGAGTCTCTTACGATAAAACTCTTGGGTTTTTTATTCCTAAAGTTGAGAATAGATCCAAATAGCACCTGTCCATTCAGTGCTATATGTCATCCTCGATTTACAGATGTGAGACAAGTATTTTCTTTTTAAGTTAGTTCGAGTGTTTATGTAGGCAGAGTTCTGATTTGTGGGTACTTTGGTTGTGAAAGGTTACCCTCAATGGCAGATCAACTTATTAGTTTACGCTTAATTGCAACAAGCATGATGAGTTTTGGAAGCTATTGTCTATCAGTCTCTCTATTTTTGTACATACATCATGACATTATATTTCCTCAATGTGTTGTGCATTAGCATGATTGTGTAAAGGGGAAACTGAGTCAGGAGTCTCCTATTATTGCACCCACCGTAGTTTCCCTAGTTCCCATTTCCAGCAAAGTCAATCCATCTGAACTTCAATTTCAACTAATGCATTTTCCTATTTTTGCAGAGGATGGATCGATCTGGAACAGGCAGTCACAGGAGAAGATCATCATCCTTTTCCCAAAGGCTTAGGGTGACAGAGCAGAATGTTGGCGCTCTTGGTTCTATTAGCAATGGCAGTTTAATGGAGGTAAATTAATTTAGGACTATCTCCATCCTTACAAAAAAAAGTTCACTTTCCTTTTTCTCGGCTCCTTCAAGTAGGATGAATTTACTTTTCCATAGAGTTTTTTTAATTTATCTTTCTGGTATGTTAATTTGATTGATAACCTGTCAGATTCTTTCCGATTTCTTGATTTCATGTCATCTGGAATAAGCAATACAACTTCCCATTCTTAAATTAGCTGTCTGTTACATCTTTATTATGAGTTTGATAGATACAATAGTCGAATTTGAGGACTGTAATGTAAAGATCTCTTCATTCAAAGTGCAGACAGAAAACAAATCTCAACCCCAGACACCTCATGGCCAGATTGTAGGAGTAAAGACTCGTCTGAAGGACGTTAGCAGTGCCTTAACCACATCAAAAGAGCTGCTAAAGATTATAAATCGCATGTGGGGCCCTGAAGATCGGCCCTCGTCAAGCATGTCTGTCATGTCAGCTTTGCATGCTGAACTTGAGAGGGCTCGCTTGATGATTAATCAAGTTATCCAGGAACAACGCTCAGAACAGAGCGAAATAAATTATCTGATGAAGTGTTTTGCCGAAGAAAAGGCAGCATGGCGAAGCAAAGAGCGGAAAGTGGTTGAGGCTGCCATTGAGTCTGTTGTTGGAGAACTTGAAGTAGAAAGGAAGTTGAGGGCACGGATTGAGAGCTTGAACAAGAAACTTGGAAAAGAACTAGCCGAGTCAAAGGCTTCTCTGCTTAAGGCTGTTCAGGAACTTGAGAGTGAGAAGAGAGCGAGAGAGATAATTGAACAAGTCTGTGATGAATTAGCTGGGACTGTCGGTGAAGAGAAAGATGAGGCAGAAGCCATGAGGAGGGAAACTCTGAAAATCCATGAAGAAATGGAGAAGGAAAGAGAGATAATACAATTAGCTGATGGGATACGAGAGGATAGGGTCCAGACGAAGCATTCTGAGGCTAGGTATCAAATTGAGGAGAAAAATGCCGCCATTGATAAATTGAGGAATCAACTTGAAGCTTCATTAGGAACCAAAAAGTCCAAAGAAAAAAGTCGACGTCCACCAAGTCATGCCAATAAGGTAGATATCTCAGACTACTTGAGTAGAAGTTGTCTCGGTGCTCGTTACAGTGAAGAAAAAGAGGACGATGGAGGAGACATAGAAGATGGGATCGAATGCAAAGAAGATTCTGCTGAAAGTGAACTTTATTCTATGCAATTTGATGTAAACCCCCATAACAAGAGCTACAAGTGGACCCACACTCACGTTGCTCCGCCAGCTGAAGAAGAGATGAAAGCAAGGAAGTCAACCTCTGGAAGAGCACCGAGGAGAAGTACTTCCCTGCAGAGGAGCATATCTGATGGAGTGGAATGGGGCATTCAAACAGAGAGGTTTCAAAATGGCGGAAACGAATTAGATTGGGAAAAGCTGCAGGTAGAAGGTTATGGAGATGAAATGCATGCATACAAGTTGGTAAAGGGTCTGAGGGATCGAATGCTGTATGGTCCTACCACTGGGTCTCCACGAGCTTTGGGTACTCCAACGAGACGACGGCAAGAGCCTGCAAATGATGTGGACAACATTGCTCAGGAGAGAACTGATCTGGTGCCCGGCTGTGTGGGGAAGTCAAGGCTAGCTGAGGCTCGAACTGATGTTTACAATGCCAGAAAATCTAGGCGGTGAGTACTTCTTCATTCATGACTTGTACATTTGTCGAAATCATCTAGAGCCACTTGACTTGGTGGCTATTGATGCTAAATGAAGGTTCAGTAATAATTAGTGGTCTATGAGATGAGAGAGAGCAGAGACGCCGAGCTGGCATGGCGGAAGTGATTTCCTACTTGCGGCTGCAATGAGATGAGCGGAGTGTGTGCGTGTTTCCCCTGCGAGGCAGAAGCATTAGCAGTATTTTCTATGAGGAGTTTTTGCGCTGTAGAGAGCTTTCGTTTTGTAACCGAGTGAAGTTCCTTATGTATAGGATTAACTATTATAAGCAAGAAAAATCCGGACCTTTTTTGTACCCGTATGCTTCTTATTTTCTCCGGCGTGGTTCTTTCGCATCAAACTTCTTATTCTCTCCAGAACGATTGCATTGCTCGACCTTTTTGTTATATTGCATAGCAGCACGATGGCGAGTCCATTTCAATTAGGGGTGAGCAAGATGGACCGCCCAAACCGGGACCGGACCGGACCGACCGGTTTGGTCCGGTTCTCAGGAATATCGGTCCGGTTCTCGGTTCCTAAAAGTGGAACCGGTTTCCGGGCGGTCCGGTTCCCGGTTCTAGGTTGGGAACCGGATCGGACTGACCGGACCGGACCGATAAATATATATATTTCTAATTTTTTCATATATATATTTATTTACTTTTTAAATATATATATTTAAATAACAAAAGAAGCATTTGATAGTTCATTTTTATTCGGTTCCAATGGGACCAACCCAAAAATGCTTTCATATATTGGTCCCGAAAATGCTTCCCGGTTCCTTCTTGTCTTTACCAATCGGTCCCATTGGAACCGGACCAGACCAGACCGGATTGACGGTCCAGTCCGGTTCACGGTCTCAAGATTAACTGGTCCGGTCTCCGGTCCTAGAAACTGGGAACCGGTCCTCTCGGTCCGGTTCCCGGTTCTTGAATTGGACCAGATCGGATCGGGAACCGCTCACCCATAATTTCAATGGTTATATGTAGTAACCAGTCTTGTGATTAGAGCTTTGCCATGAGTACTAATAGCAAAAAACTGAGGAGGCTGGAAGTACAAGCCTCACGAGATACACGAGATGCTACTCCTTTTACCCCTTGAAGCTAGCTGTCCCGGATGCGATCTGTCATTATCTGCTCTGCTTCGTAATTCTCTCCGGTTTGTCGACTATCTTCTCACCAATCATTTCATATCATAATCACAAATTGCGCAGTTGCCTCCCTAAACTTCCACTGCATTGACCCTTTTAAGTATGTGGGATGAACAAAAGAGATGCCATGCTTATTTGCTTACCATTGTACGGCTTTTGTCATGATGGACTGTAGAATTATCGTGATCTGATGGAAACAATGTTCCCATGTGGTTTGACTCGGATCAAGGTGAGCCGGGAAAAGTGCCAAAAAAGTCCTAAACCTTTTGTATTAGTGCCAATTTAGTCCTAAACCTTTTTTTGGTGCCAATTCAGTCCTAAACCTTTTGCATTGGTGCCAATTTAGTCATAAATCTTTTTTTGATGCCAATTAAGTCCTAAACCTTTAAATTGGTGTCAATTCAGTCCTAAACCTTTTGTTTTTGTGCCAATTTAGTCCTTCCGGCCAATTTAGACCGGAATTTGCCTACGTGGACGCCTGCCGGCCGGCGGCCGGTCACCGGCGCCGACGTGGACAACTTTAATATTTTTTAAATATTTTTTTGAATTTTTATTTTTTTCCTTTTTTTTTCTTTTTTTTTCCACTTTTTTTTTTGTTGTCTTCCTCCTTACTCTGGCCGGTCGCCGGTCCGGCGACCGCCGAGGCCGAGGCCGGCGAGGGCGAGCCTCGCCTTGGTCGGGCGAGGCTCGAGCCCTCGCCGGAGGCCGCGGCGAGGGCGAGCCTCGCCATGGTCGGGCGAGGCCGACGCTCGACCTCGCCAGATCCGGCGAGGTCGGGCCTCGCCCGACCAAGGCAAGGCTCGAGCCCTCGCCGCGGCGAGCCTCGCCATGGTCGGGCGAGGCCCGACCTCGCCGCGGCCTCCGGCGAGGGCTCGAGCCTTGCCTTGGTCGGGCGAGGCTCGCCCTCGCCGCGGCCTCCGGCGAGGTCGGGCCTCGCCATGGTCGGGCGAGGCTCGCCCTCGCCGCGCCTCCGGCGAGGGCTCGAGCCTCGCCATGGTCGGGCGAGGCCCGACCTCGCCGGCGGCTGGGCGAGGCTCGACCTTGCCAGATCCGGCGAGGTCGAGCTCGCCGGCCACTGGCCTCTGGCCGGTCGCCGGACCGGCGACCGGCCAGATGAAGAAGAAACCAAAAAAAAAGTGAAAAAAAAAAAAAAAGGAAAAAATAAAAATTCAAAAAATATGAAAATATTATTTAATTTGTCCACGTCGGGCACGTCGCGCCGGTGATCGGCCCGGCCGGCGCCCACGTCGGAAATTCCGGTCAAAATTGACCTGGAATGACTAAATTGGCACAAAAATAAAAGGTTTAGGACTGAATTGGCACCAATTTAAAAGGTTTAGGACTTAATTGGCACCAAAAAAAGGTTTAGGACTAAATTGGCACCAATGCAAAAGGTTTAGGACTGAATTGGCACCAAAAAAAGGTTTAGGACTAAATTGGCACTAATGCAAAAGGTTTAGGACTTTTTTGGCACTTTTCCCAGCCTATCCACAAATTCCTCGCAGACGTATGGACACATCATCAAGTTTGGATACTAATGGCTAATCATTAATGGCTAATTGAGCAACCAAATCTCATAATGCAAGTCTTAGAGATCCTAGTTCTTTATCACATTCTTTTTAGCTTCATCCATGAATGCGTACATCTCGTGAAATTGTATAATGGATCCAAAAAAGAGGAAAGGAAAAAACAGTGAAAAGATTATGTGTTCATCAATAGAGTGGCCAAAACTCTTGGAAAATTTAAATCGTGTAATTGATGCCAGGGATGGCAACTGAACTAGTTTCCGACGATTAAATATACACAAAAGCTCGAAATGTATATGATTACTAATTTGTATTCACCTTGAGAATATTGCTATATCAAAAACAAATAGTATACCGATCTAATATATGTGTCTACCTTTTTTTTTTTTGTCTTTCAGTGAGATTATTGTTAATGGAAAAAAAAAATTATGGATACATTCAGTGTTGGATGAATGATTTGTGTGTTTAAAGTTAATTTCATGTCTCCAACGTCCAACGATTTCGCATAGTTTACATTGATAAAGAACCTAATAAAAACACTTTCAATGTAGTCCTTGAACTTGAATTGATGGAAGGATTACATTGAACATTTTCATATAGTTTATGGGGAAAAAATCACCAAAAACCCCAAACTTTATCATTTGTGACACATTTACCCCGAACTTTTTTTTTGTGCCAAGAAAAACCCCAAACTATGCAACTTGTGACACATTTACCCCAATATACTGTAACCTAGGGCATTTTAGTCTTTTTCCCCTTTTCTATTTTTTTTTTTCTGTTTTTTTTCTTTTTTCCGGCGGGGGCTGAGGTTGCCGGCGAGGTCTCCGGCGATCTCGCCGGCGAGGGCGAGGGACACTCGCCCCGCCCGGTGCGAGGGCCGCCTCGCCGGCGTTAAGCGAGCGGCCCTCGCCTCGCCGAGTCGGGCGAGGGACCCTCGCCCGCCCGGCGAGCGAGGCGCCACTCGCCTCGCCCGGCGTCGGGCGAGGGACCCTCGCCACACCCGAGCGAGGCAATGGGCGCCCTCGCACAGGCGAAGATGGGTTGTTGCCGGCGTCGGGCGAGGGCTTCCACTCGCCCGCCCGGCGAGTCGCCCTCGCCCTCGCTGAGGCGGGGCGAGGGTTTGCAGGCCAGCCACTCGCTGGGCGGGGCGAGGGAAGCCCTCGCCCGACGCCGGCGAGGGCAGCCCACTCCCCGCCCAGGCGAGGGCGAGGGTCCCTCGCCCTCGCCGGCGAGGGTAGCCCCTGCCGGAAAAAAGAAAAAAAAAGCAGAAAAAAAATAGAAAAAGGGAAAAAGACTAAAATGCCCTATGCTATAGTATATTGGGGTAAATGTGTCACAAGTTGCATAGTTTGGGGTTTTTCATGACACAAAAAAAAGTTCGGGGTAAATGTATCACAAGTGATAAAGTTTGGGGTTTTTGGTAGTTTTTTCCCTAGTTTATGGACTAAATTGAACATGTACCAAAAGTTTATAAATGACATTGACTATTTTGAATATTGGGTCAAAATTTATGGACTATTTATGTCATTTTCCCAAAAGAAAATCGAGGACCGGTGTCATTTAGTTTTATCCCGCATTTGCCTCGCACATCATATGCGGGAAAAAGGCTAAAAACGTCCCCGAGAAATGGCTTAGCCTTTTTAGCAAACTGCACACGCAATGCCTTCTCAATTCTCATGCCTTTCCATCCTTCGCTGACTCGCGCCCCTGCCTCCGACAAGCTGCCGTCCATCGTCACCCTCCTCAAGTCCTGCAAGAACTCCGCCCACATCCACCAGCTGCACGCCCAGATCATCGTCATGGGGCTCGAGCAGGACCAGTTCGTGGCTTCCCACTTCGTCTGCCTCTCCTACTCCCTCTCTTCTCTCGCCTACTGCTCTCGCTTCTTCGGCGGCATCCTCGACCCGAGCCCCGTCCTTTGGAACTCGCTCGTCAAAGGGTACTGCGAGAGAGCCTCCTGGGTCGAGACGCTCTCGGTTTTCGGGCGCATGAGGAGAGCCGGAGCCGTGCCCGACAAGTTCACGTACCCGTCGGTCTTGAAATCTTGTGCCGGCGGGTCGAGGGTGAGAGAAGGGAGGGCGGTTCACGGGGGTGTCGTGAAGAGTGGTCTCGACGGGGATGTGTTCGTGGGCACGAGTTTGGTTGATTTGTACGGCAAGTGTGGCGAGATAGTGTGCGCGCGGAAGGTGTTTGATGCAATGCCCCAGCGAAGTGTGGTTTCTTGGACGGCTATGGTGGTCGGTTACATCGGTGCTGGGGATTTGGTTGAGGCGAGGAGACTTTTTCGGGAAATGCCGCTGAGAAATGTGAAGTCTTGGAATGCGATGATCACTGGGCTTGCCAGAGTGGGTGATCTGAGGAGTGCTAGGGAACTTTTCGAGGAAATGCCTGAGAGGAACGTGGTTACTTTCACTGCAATGATTGACGGGTATGCAAAGGCTGGGGATATGGTGTCGGCAAGGGCTTTGTTTGAGCAAGCGCCTGTGAGGGATATGTTCGCTTGGTCGTCAATGATATCGGGATATGCACAAAATGGTCTACCAAATGAAGCTGTGAAGGTTTTTGTTGAGATGGTGTCAAAGAATATCAAGCCTGATGAGTTCACGTTGGTTGGCCTGATGTCGGCTTGTTCCCAAGTGGGTTGTGGGAAGTTAGCCAAGTGGGTCGATTCTTATTTAAGCGAGAGTTCAATTGCTCTCGAGACAGCTCATGTTGTTGCAGCTCTAATAGACATGAATGCAAAATGTGGGAACATTGAGAGAGCTACAGAATTGTTCGAAACATTGCCTAAACGAGACATCATTTCCTACTGTTCCATGATACAGGGGCTATCGATGCATGGATGCGGGGTATTGGCAGTGAACCTCTTCACTAGGATGCTCCAGGAAGATATTAATCCTGATGAGGTGGCCTTCACGGTTATTTTAACTGCTTGTAGCCGTGCTGCACTGGTAGATGAGGGTTTGCAATTCTTTGAGATGATGAAAAATGAGTACTCCATAGTCCCCTCCCCTGATCATTTTGCAATCATGGTCGACCTCCTTAGTCGGTCAGGACGGCTAAATGCAGCTTACGAGCTATTGAACACAATGCCCATGGAGCCCAATGCTTGCGCATGGGGTGCACTTCTCGGGGCCAGTAAGTTGCATGGTGACCTTGAGTTAGGGGAGGTGGTTGCTCGGAGACTTTTTGAGCTTGAGCCCCAAAATGGTGGAAACTATGTGCTTCTCTCCAACATATACGCCGCTGCGGATCGGTGGGTGGATGTTTCTCTTCTCCGGAATCAAATGAAGGAGAGGGGAGTTAGAAAAGTCCCTGGCTGCAGCTGGATTTCTTAGTAACCAATTTCACCATTACATCACTTAAGCATGTCATGCCTTCTAAAATTTGGTGCATGGCATTTCGGATTTGAGAAGAATTACACAGTGGAGTTAGGGTCTAGGTGTTCAACTCATATTGGAGAAAGTGAGCTTAGATGCATTAGTTCAGTATTCTTCGCAATCTGATGTCTAAAACCACTTCGGTTTGCAGGGAAGTGAAAGTCATACAGTTGGGAAACTACTAATGTTTACTTGATTGTTTTGAAACCTGTCTCTGTTCAAAACACTTTTGAGTTCATCTCAGTAGCAACTCTCATTTTTTTTTAACTGTTGAGTGTTCGCCACTACCGTGTTCTTGAATTTTGCTTCAAGAGAAAGTTGAGGAAACTCTAAATATATTTATTTTTATCACATTTTCTTGCTCACTGTTGGTACTTTTAGATTTGCCAGATCTAAATCAAGCCAAGTACATGCTGAGTAATCGAGCAATGGATTTTTTTGATCCCTGCTAAAATTGGAAAATGTGGGTCTTCCCTGGTTACGCCGTACTTGTCATCCATAGTCCACAACGACAGACTCAAGAGAGCCAATTTAACTGGAAAAGGGGCGGGTTTGGCCACTCTGATGCCCACGGAGAGTCTATTGAGCTCATGATACCCATCATTGGCACAAAGGATTGTTGAGTCCTGTAAGTACTCACCTTCTCGAAGTAGCAAAGGGAAAACCAGTTTCAGTGGGGTAGCTGGCTGCTATTCTTTGGGAAATGAATGAGATACCATCGCCAAGAGTGAAGGAGGAATCAGAAGAAAGAAGGTTGAAGAAGGAGGGAAGCGGGAGAGAGAGGATTGTCAGCTCTGTGCAATAAGGTTTTTACCCTCCACATTCATCCGATCCATCTCACAGTCCTTTTTCAGAAGTGAATTAGAAATTGTCACGTGGATATATTATTTTGCTAACAAAGAGATGTAGTAGGAAACTTTGTTCTTGATCTTTGTTGTTTGCTGCCGTCTGGCTTTTCTTTGAACAAGAGTCTCTTATAATATAGACGTATAGCATTTATTGCTAAAGTTGAGATCAAATTGCTCGTTTTCATTGATTACTACACCTCATCTTTAATCAATGTATGTCAAAAGGTACTGTAGCAGCTAGGTCAGGATTCCTTTTGCTAGCCTCACGATAATTTCATTACCCTCACATGCAAGACCATGTCCCTCATTACAAGCTTGACACAGATATATTTGATTTATGGTTACTTTGATTTATCACGAAACCCTAGTCTCACTAGTTCAACTTATTGATTTATGCATATTTACATGCAAGACGAGGTCTCGAAGTTATGTTGTCTGTTATCTATTTGTCTGTCAATATTTAAAATGCATTTGTCAGTCTATTTTTGGCATGTATTGTGGTATTACATTTGCTCAGATGTGTTGTACATTAACATGTTGGTGGAAAGGAGAAATTAAGTGAGGAGTCTCCTATTCCAGTGCACGTATTAGTTATTGATTCACCATTTCTGGCACAGTCAATTCAGCTGAACTTCAATTTCAACTAATGCATTTTCCAATATTTAGGGGATGGATCGATCTGGAAGAGGCAGTCACAGGAGAATATTACCATCCTTTTCCCAAAGGCTTAGGGTGACAGAGCAAAATGGTGGCGCTCTTGGTTCTATTAGCAACAGCAGTTTAATGGAGGTAAATCCATTTAGGACTATCTCCATCCTTACAAAAAAAAAAAAGATCACTTTCCTTTCTTTCGGCTCCTCCAAGCAAGATTAATTAATTTACCCCTGAGAGACATGGCATCTTCTCGATTAAGTTCTCTTGATATATTTAGTTGATTGATAACCTGTCAGATTCTTTCTGATATCTTTATATCTTTTAGTCATTCAGAATAAGCAATTTAACTTTTAATTTCCCGTACTTAAATTAGCTCCATTACATATTTGATTATGAGTTTGATAGATGTCACGTCTGAATACTTTTAGGTAAAGATCTCTTCTTCGAAAGTGCTGACAGAAAACAAATCTCGAGCCCAGACACCTCGTGGTCAGATTGTAGGAGTAAAGACTCGTTTTAAGGATGTCAGCTATGCTTTGACCACATCAAAGAGCAGCTGAAGATTATATGTTTCAAGTGGGCCCATGAAGATTGGCAGTCATCAACATGTCCATTGTGTCAGCTTTGCATGCTGAACTTCAGGGGGCTCTTTCAACCAAAAAAAAAATCATTTGATTGACTAATGAACTTATCCAGGAACAACGCTCAGAACAGAGTGGAATAAATTATCCGATGAACTTGAGAGTGAGAGGAGAGCAAGAGAGATAATTGATCAAGTTTGTGATGAATTAACTGGCAACATGGGGGAAGAGAAAGATGAGGAGAGAAGAGAATCTCCGAAAATTCGTGAAGAAATGGAGAAGGAAATGGAGATGATGCAATTAGCTGATGTATACGAGAAGATAGGGTCCAGATGAAACATTCGGAGGCTAGATATCGGCTTGAGGATAAAAATGCTTGTCATTGAGGAATCAACTTTAAGCTTGTGTAGGGACAAAAAAATCGAAAGAGCAAAGTTGACCTCCTTCATGCCAACAGAGAAGATATCACAGACTACTTGAGCAGAAGTTAGTCGCGATGCTCGTTACATTGAAGAGAAGGAGGATGACAGAGGAGAATTGAAGATGGGATCGAATGCAAAGAGAACTCTGCTGAAATATGGAATGGGCAATGATGTCTTCTTTGCTTAATGATGGAGTGTTTGGGGGTCTTCTAGTATTCGACTAAATTGCCTCTTTTGAGTGTTACAGAACTTTTTCCATGCATGACGGGTAAATGAAGGAGCATGTAGATATGTCTCCATATGATTGTGAGAGAATGCATTAGAAATGGACAGGGATACAGTACGAGTGTAGTTTACAAAATTCATGATTTGTGCGATCTGTTTCTTTTAACTCCTTTCTTGCATATCAAGTTATCTACTATTTTTTTTTTTTATCAATCAAGTCATTTCATCAATCTTTGATATCGACATCTTCAAATTGCTAATGGCTGACGAAGTGTATATGGACATGTCATGCCAAATAAGCTCCATCAGTGGCCGGGGGGGTCTGGTGACCCTGTCGTGCTCGAGCAAGGGCCATTGAATCATCTTGTCAGGCTCGGGGGTGCAGGGTCTAGGAGGTGCTTCGGGAGTCGCACATGGATCGAAGGCGCTGAGATCAAAGTAGAAGTAGTCCACATTGCACATTGATAGATATGAGCAGCCCTAGAACACTAATTTGGGAGATTCATTATACTTGATAATGTCTAAGGAGTGCTATGAAGGTAACTTACATAACGATAGGAAAGAAAAGGAAAAGCTTTCAAAATATCAATTGCACGCCTTAAAAAGCAAATCAAAATAATTAGAAATTGAAAATTTTTTTAGATGTTAAAAGATGAAAAAATAGTACCAAAAAAGTCTTAAACTTATTGTACGACGGTCAATTTAGTCATAAACATTTCAATTGTGCTAATTTAATCCTAAGCCTTTTGACGATTTGTCAATATAGTCCTTTCAGTCAATTATGGCCGGAAAATCATTGACGTGGACATTGGCTGTCCTACGTAGCAAGGAAGGACGGCCGACGTTGATGATAATTTTTGCAATTTTTTTTAAATTCTTTTCTTTTCTTTCTTTTTCTCCCGTTTGACGATAATTTTTGCAATTTTTTTAAATTCTTTTCTTTTCTTTCTTTTTCTCCCGTTTCTTTTCCTTTTTCTGGCTGACCATAGGTGAGGGGTGCGCTCACCAGCCATAGGTGAGCTTGGGCGAGGGCCGCAACGCTCTCACCCAAATCTACGAGGTTGATAATTGCCTAGGTGTCATGTAAACTCGCTACGACTCCTAGGCGACCATCACGCTTACCGGCTCTGGCTAGGGCGAGTGTCGACGAGGGCTACTCTCCACTGGGCGATCGTGGCCCTAGTCGGCCACCCATTGCCTAGGCTTGCCTGTGGTAGGCAAGGGTGACCCTCACCTGCAATTGGCGAGTGCGGCCGCCGTTGGCCACAGGGAAAAAGGAAAAGAAAGGAGAGAAGAAGAAAATTTAAAAAAATTTAAAAAATTGTCCAATCGATGCCGATCTTCCGCGGGCCATGTTAGGACAGACGGAGTCTACATCAGCAATTTTCAGTCAAAATTAGTCGGAATGACTATATTGGTAAATCGTCAAAATATATAAAACTAAATTGATAAAATTGAAAAGTTTAAAACTGAATTGGTCGTCATATAATAGGTTTAAAACTTTTTTGGTAATTCTTCCCTTAACAATACTAGAGCACACTTTGTTTGACAAATAAAGATGAGCCTAACCGAAGGTGGGCACCGACTCTATTCTATAAAATTATAATCACCCCAAAGGAGTTGGTTCAATGCATAGAAATAATGGAGCCCGTTAAAGAGGTAGAGATGGGGGGATCCATTTCCACTGAGGAAGAGGAAGATGCCTTGACAATCTGACATGTGACCTTACAACAGGAGCATCAACAAAACAAAGTAAAGATCGACCATAAGTATAGGTTGATTAATAGAACATGTAGGGCTTTAACAAGGAAGGAGTAAACGGTACGTTAAACATCACATGTGATCAGATATTGACTGTGGATAAAGTCGAAAGTCGATGTCAATTGAGTTGAGAAGAATTAACACCATCTCACGAGATTTGTCTGAAATCAAATCGATTGCCAGGATAAATAATAAATATAGCAAAAACAATTATTGCAATCGAACTTCCGAGGGAGAACAGTTATTCAGAGGTATCGACAGACATTTATAATCAAGAAGCTATTTTTTATGAGTCAAGTACTTATTGCGATCAAGCTCCGTAGGCGGGAACGCTTATAACCATAAAAAATGAAGTCGAAATTTGATTTCAATGGGCAAGAACGATTAATGGGAGAGCTGTCGCGACCTCCCCGAACCGGCCCCGGCCGCCTAAGGGATTAGGCTAATGGATTACTAAGTTAAACCTAGCTCGAGCTCTCCCAAGCTCATACCAATTCGCGACTTAGGTTCAAATCATTAACATGCAAATCAATTTTATCTAGGAGTCGCCACTAATCAGTTTTCGGTGGGTCGATTAGACACCCTAGTAAAGCATGGGAGAAATGCTGTACTTTTACGAACTAGAGATTCAATGAGTACGGGGACTTGATTACACTAATTGACTAATTAGTGCCCTTTCGGTACCTAATCTTGTTCAATTCACCACCTAACGTGTTTACACTAATCGGGAGTCTAAAAAATTCATTCCTAACCAAGCTAAGGGAGGCAACAATCACTACATGAACCTAACATGCATAATCAATCACATGCAAGGTTAAATTAAACGCACAATTCAAGTGTGTGAACCAAGCAACGTGCGGTCGAATATGGCACTAATATCACACAATAGGCCCAAAAAAAAAACCAATTCCAAAGTCCAAATATATTTTCTGGTTTTTCGAAATGTTTTTAAATTTTTTTGAATTTTTTGAAATTTTTTTAAAATTTAATTAAATTTTTTTAATAAAATTTTTCGATTTTTTTTAAAAAATAAAATAACATAACCGGGTCGGATCTCCACATCCGACCCGGATAAAAAAAAATTTAAAGTTTTTTTAAAATTAAATATTGAAATAATAAAATAATATTTAAAATAATATAAAAACGGATCTGGGTCGGATCTCCACATCCGACCCGGACCGGGACTGACCCGGGCGCGCTGGCCCGGGTCCACGATCGGACCGGGTTCATTTGTTGAGCCCGGTTCGACAAATTTAAAAGAAAGAAAAAGGGCCCAGCCCGAATTTTTTATTTAGAAAAATAATAAAGGCCCAAAGCCCACTGGAAATAAAAAGACAAAACAAGGCAATTTAGCCCAAATCCCAATTTCGGCCCACCCGCGAAAGGCCCAAGACCTAATGAAACCCACTCTAATTCTGAAATAAAAAAAGGCCCAAAACCTAATAAAAACCTAATAAACCTAAAACCAAGCCCAACACCAAAACCCTACCCGGTTAGACCCGTGCGCCCGACCCGGGGTTCGGCCACCGACCCGACTCACGGCCGCCAATCTGATTCGCGGTCACTGCCTCGACGAGGGGCGGCCACCGCGACGATCGGCGACCGGAGATTCTCTACCCGTGGCCACTGCCCCGACGAGGGGCGGCCACCGCGTCACATCGGCGTCTTCGCCGCGAAGACCGGCGATCGACCGGGACTGCCCAGACCCCGACGAGGGGATGGCCGACTGCGGACCAGCCAAACCCCGACGAGGGACAGGCTGACCAGCTCCGCACGCGGTCACGCCCGAACCGCCGCTCGGACCGCGAGACTCCTCCGCCACCTAAGCCACCAGTTGACGACTGGGCCGAACTGACCAAGCCCCGACGAGGGACCGGACAACCATGCACCGGCCAAGGCCCGGCGAGGCTCTGCTCGCGCCCAACAGACGTTCCTCGTTCGTCGGTAAAAACAGCAACGACTCGACCGACCGAAAACCAACGGGCTGAGCCTCTACCACACGCCCGGCGACGCACCCGAGACATCACAAGTGAAGAGAGGGACACCCAGGCTCCGGAATGCATCACGCACAAACGAAAAGAAAGGAATCTCATTCAAGCATAACATCGAACGGTTGGAGCGCGCAACGAAAACGGGAGATTTTAGGTTCGATTAGGGCTCAAACGTGTCCGGGATTCACACAGAAAGACGCATCAACAGGCAGGATCAAGCACGTGGTATCACGGGCCGGAACTCGCACGAGCCGGACGACCGCAAGCTCCGGCCAGTGAACTTGAAAAACAGGGGACACCGACCAGCAGACCAAAAATAGGGGAAGGAGGGGCGGCCTTTGTGGCGCTCCCTATCCGACTCAGGGGCGGCGAGCGGGGACGACTATAGATCGGACTTTGTCCGGTCGTCTCGCACGTCTCCGAGCCGAAATCCTCGGGTCTCTCTCTCGCTCTGTGGAACTCTCTCTCTCTCCGATTTCTGTTCTCCCCCGACCCCCTTTCTGACGTGCACTCCCTGAGAGAAAGCAGATGGCCTTCCCCTCTTTTGTCTCTTCTCTCTTTTGTTTTTTTCTTCTTTACTTTCTTTTTTTTAAATTAATTAATTAACTAATTTTTTTAATTTAATTTTTGAAAATAAACATGGAAAATATGTTCTAATAGGCCCTA